ATTGATAAGAGGATCTATCACTTAAGAATTAAGAATGTATAGGAAGAACAGGGACACAAACAAATGAACTACAAAGACTATTCACAGAAATAATCCAGGAGAATTTCCCTAATTTAGCAAAACGTAAAGATACTAAGATATATGAGGCATACAGGACCCCAGCCACCTACAACCCAAACAGAACTACACCCAGGCATATAATAATCAAAATTCCAGAAATCCAATATAAGAACAGAATATTAAAAGCCGTCAGAGACAAAAATCAGATCACTTACAAGGGAACACCCATCAGAATTACAGCAGACTTCTCGGCACAAACCATCAAATCACGAAGAGCATGGGGGGAAATAATTCAAGCTTTGAAAGATAATAACCTACAGCCGAGATTGATATATCCTGCACAACTGTCCCTAGAAATTAATGGAGGAACAAGGTGCTTCCAGGATAAAGAGGAACTAGGGGAATTTGCAACCACCAATTCAACTCTACAGAGAATACTGCAGGACATTCTAAAAAAGAAAAATACCAATATTCCAGAAACAGTGGCAGAGAGGCCACAATGAATGGAGCAGAAAGTGAAATGAAGAACACAAATTGACAACTAATGACGGAAAAAGAGCTCAACAGAAATGAGGCAGAGAAGGTTGGATGGTAGGAACAGCTATTTTGGAGAAAACAAGGCATCATACTAGCTAGTGTTGATTTAATATCATCTTGTTTTGAAGTCCCATCAAGCTTTTGTTCTTCTGTCTCCATTGGTCTTACATGTTGTATCTTATTGGATTTTATTATATGTGATAATATAAACAAAAACTGTTATAGACAAGGTGATTATACAGAAATCATTGTTCATTTTCTGTTAGTTGGTTCTAAATACTCTGTAATCCTGTAATTCTTTTGGTTTTACATTGTTTTGATATGTTTGATGCTACGGTATATGAAGTTATACTCAAAGATTTCAAGCAAAGAGACACTATGGTAACTACTTTTATGTTGGGATATCTGAAACACTATTTTGCTTAAATGGTTATGTTCTGACCTGTGCTGTTTTGTTGTTATGTCCTCTTTTATCTCAATCTCCTTTTTAAAATTATTTTTTATTTTTATCTTTTTAATTAAGGAAAAATAAGTAAAAAATAGCAAGATATAGTAACCCACTTTGATTTCCTATTAACTTGATTTGAAACCCTGTATTGCTCTCACCATCTTGTTTTGACTGATTTTCCTCTATTCTGTTTTGCTTGATAGTACCAAGTTTGAGAGTATAGGCAACAACTGTGAAGACAGTAAGATTCACTATGACATCCATTCTGGTTTGACTATTATCTTCTTCTGAAGTCTTGTAATGTCTCCAGTGTTTTGGTTTTATTGGTTTTGTTCTTTATTGTTTTGTTCAATTTTATTATAACTGATGATATAAGCAATTCTTTTTAAGATAGCAAGAGGCATTATGGTAACCATTGTTGATCACCTTGTATTCTGTTTTTACATTTTGTATTATGTCCATCCTTTTGATTTGACTGTTTTGTTATGTCACATTTGGTTTTATTCTCTTCAAAAAAAAGTAATAACTGTGGGAGTAATAAAACCCAAAATGTGTAATTGTCGTTGTAAAAAAGAGAGGAAAAGAAAGTGCTCTAAACGATATAACTGCATGTATATTTAAGTGTATAAGATAGATAACCATATTACTATCATTGAATGGATCATTTTGTTGGATCATTGAACAGAGCTGTTTGCCGTCTCACTGTTTGAATGTCCACTTTATATGCTTTAATTTTGTAACTTGAACAACTATTTCCAAGATGACAATATGTAATCTATTTACCAGTGATTTCCTACTGTTTATTTTTCTGAAATTATGTATAACTTGTGCCCTTTTTCTGTTTTTTTCTTTTTCTCCTTAAATAAAATTTTTAAAAAACTGTACTGCATATCCTGTAAAAATGAAAGGGAGGAATTATCTAAAAAGGAAAGGCAACGGCCACTGTTAATCTATTATGATTTGAAACTCATATTGTCTTCATCGTTCTGCTTGGTTTTATTGTTTCCATTTGTCTAATTGTATTTTATTTCATGGCATGGACAGTTATCTCAAAAATAACAAAATATATTATGGTAACCATTTTTGATTTCTGATTAGCTTGATTTGAAACCCTGTATTGCTTTCATTGTTTTGTTTTGACTGATTTTATTCAATTTTGTTTTGTTTGATTTTATCATGTCTGATGGTGTAGGCAATTACTTTGAAGACAATAAGATGCCTTATGATACCCACTGTGGTTTTACTATTATTTTCTTTTGAAGTCCTATACTGTTTCCATTGTTTTGTTTTTGTTGGTTTCACTCTGTACTAGTTTGTTTGATTCTATTATGCCTGATGGTGTGGGCAATTCTTTTGAAGATAACAAGAGGCATTATGGTAGCCATTGTTGATCTCCTTGTATTTTGTTTCTAAGTCATGTACCATGTTCATCCTTTTGTTTTAATTGACTTTATTCTGTTTTGTTTCATTTGGTTTTATTCTCTTCAAAATAAAAAAGAGGACACCAAATTTCAAATGCAAAAAGCATAAAAATAAGGTTTGCTTAGTACAACAAAGGAATAATAAGAAATTGTAAATTTTCAAAGTATCATAAACATCACAAAATTTGAACATCCCCAATATATATGTTAATTAAGCCTCCCTAACACACTTGTATCATTCACTTTTCTGTAGTGTCTTTTTTTTTTTTTTTTTTTGGTACTGGGGATCAAACTCATGACTGCACTCTTGCAAGGCAGGTGCTTATGCCATTGAGCTAAATCCCCAGCTCTCTTTAGTGTCTTAAATTGATTCTTTATGTCCCTTTGAGGATTACTTCATCATACTACATTTTCTAAGGCAGATCCAAGGGTAGTTTCTTAGTTTTGTCTTGGGGGGGGGCTCAAGGGTAGTTTTTATTATTGTTTAGAAAAAAATTCAGCTTTGCAACTTATTATTGAGGGTAATAATTACATATTTTATTGTCAAATTTCAGAAAACTTTTATCAAGTCTCCCATTTATGAATTACAGTGAGTTTCATAAAATGCAATGTTGAGCCCTTCCTGAAGCCTTTATGGGGTCTCCCAGTAAGAGGACTCCTAAAGCATAATGCATGTAGCTTGGGATTAATCTGACTTGCAAAATAATGTATAATAAGTGTCAGTTTTTAGTTTTGTCGCCTTTTACTCTCATTTTTGTCTGTTGAGACAATGATGGAATTATGGATATTTTCTTCAACACACAAAAAGAATTCTTCTTAAGGTATTAAGATAAGTATTGGCTACAATATTATATCCCTATAGAGCTTATTTTTGTTCCTGTTCCCAGTGTCTGCACCAAATCAATATTAACATCTGTGTTTTGATTTTCTTTTCTTAATACGTGGCACAGCATCCTGAACTTTCTTTGTTCTAAACACGTTTTTATAATGACGAAGAAATGAATAGGTATTGCCAGTCATATTGAATGCCAGGTACAAAAATTCCCCATGTTCAAAAACTAGCAGTAAATATATTTGAGCAAACATTGAGACCCTTCCCTGGCAAGTCTAAAATAGCAGGTGCTGATTCTTTGTAAAAGAGAGACACTATATGGCATTTAAACTCATGTGTCTGGTTTATTTCACTCAGTATTATATTTTCCAGGTGCATCCGTTTTCCTACAAATGTCTCAAATTTGCTTTTCTTTATAGCCAAGTATTATTCCATTATGTATGGGTACCACATTTTTCTGTATGCAATCATCTGTTGATGGGTCTATAGGCTGCTTCCAGGATTTAGCTTTGAATGCAGTGCTGTAAATATTGGTATTCATGTTTATTGCAGTATGATGTCTTAAACTCTTTGGGAAAGATACCTAGAAAGGGAATATCTTGATCATGTTGTGTATAGTAAGGAGTTCAAGAGACTAAGGACAGGAGGAGGGAAAAGAGAAGAGGAAAATACGTAGAATAAAGATATGTGAAGTACAGGAATCTAATAACCTCAATGAACATAAATATTATATCCATAAACATGAGCTATGCATAATACTATCTACAAGAATGGAAATGGCGAAAGGGGAATTAGAGGAGAAGGGAGGGAGGAGGATTGAAAAGCCCTAGAAATAAGTTGTATTATGCACATAAGCTTACTCCCAAAGATGGCTATAAACTGCATGTACTGCCAACATGTACTAAAAACAATAAAGTAAGATAAAATGAAATGAAATAGCAGACACTCTGATGCCTTTGCCTTAATAACACAAAGATTCTTTTACCAGGGCTTTTGAGCTGCATGGATTCTCATTTCCCTTCTGAAGGCACTGCCTTTTCTCTTTGATATCTTCCTGCTAGAACAACATTGTCCTCCCAATATGCTAAAAAGACATCAGATTTTGATGAATTTATTTCCTGTTCTAATAATTTAATTAAACATGAATATATGTACTTCACTTCTTCTATTTTTCCCATTTTTCTTTGTACACAGAACTGTGCAAGATGTTTTAAAAGACACTAAAGTGAGTATATGTAATAATTGTTGTGATCAAGGAACTTGCAGCCTACTAAAGTTGGGAATAAAGGAAAATAGAATGAGAAGACACCAAATGTAGAAAAAAAAACTAATGTAAAGCATGACATGGATGCAAATCCACATAAGATCTGTGGTTATTTTTGATGTTTTCAGTTTTGACAAATGAAATCCTTTCAATAGTTGTCCATGGACAACAGGCATTAAAGCAGTGCTGTGTCAATGTCACCCTATTCCTGAAGCTCTCTATTTTTGCTTTCACTTTTTATTATGAGTATTTTATTCCACCTGTAAAGATTGAGATAATTGTATAAGTACCCATCTTCCAGCTTCAATCATTATCAACATAAAACCCAATTTATCTTCTCTCTCTCTCCTGGTTCTTGATCCCCATTTATGAAGAGAAAATCCAAATTTTATTTCCTCAAGTTTTCATTGCTCCATTCTATTTCTTGCCTGACTTCCTTATTCAATTCGACCACTTGTCTCATTTTTCTTTTTATTCTCACTTTCAGCATTTTAACTGTGATGGTCCAACTCTGCCAGGACACAGATTCATAAAAGTCAGCCTGCATCCTAAGCACCACATGGGAAGGAGCAGGACAAGCAGTGTCTCATACTTTGTCTTTTTCTGCCTGGAACAGACAGCTCCATAATGGGGGCTGTGGAGGATGGGGCATCCCTGAGAGTTGCTCTTCTGTGGTTCTGGCTTGAGGTGTCTCTGTCCTCTTCCAGCTTCTCCCAGGCTGTGCCCACTCAATGCTTCGGTTCCCCAGAAGTGGTGATTCCCTTGAAAGTGGACAGCAGGATCAGAGGCATAAAGACTCCAGGATGGCTTTCCTACAGCCTGCTATTTGGGGGCCAGAGACACGTTGTTCGTATGAGGGTCAAGAAGCTGTTGGTTTCCACACACCTTTCTGTACGTACCTACACAGAGCAGCATGCTCTCTTGGAGGATCACCCCTTCATCCCTGATGACTGTTACTATCATGGTTATGTGGAAGGGGCCCTTGAGTCTCTGGTTGTTTTCAGTGCCTGTTTTGGGGGCTTACGGGGAATGTTACAAATAAATGACCTCATGTATGAAATTGAACCCATCAGGCACTCTACTGCATTTGAACATCTGGTTTATAAGTTAAACAATAATGATACACAATTCCTACCCATGAAGTGTGGTTTAACAGAGGAGAAAACACACCAGCACTTGGAATTTGAAGTGGGTGAGAACTTAGCTCCGAAATACAATTCTGCTCATGATTGGCGGACCCATACATGGTTTTTGGAGCTGGTTATAGTAATAGATCATGATTTCTTCACTTACTCTCAAGGCAACTTGTCAAAAGTTCAAGAGGATGTATTTCTTGTTGTCAGTATAGTGGATTCCATGTTCCGTCAGTTGAGTACTTATGTGACTTTGATTGGGATTGAGATTTGGAATCAAGGAAACATTTTCCAGATGATAAGCATAGGACAGGTTTTGGGAGATTTCTCTGAGTGGAAAAAAATCAGTTTTTCCCAACTACAGCATGATGCTGCACACATTTTCATAAAAAATCCACATATAAATACACTTGGTCTGGCCTATGTTGCAGGAATATGTCGCTCTCCTATTGACTGTGGAGTTTGTAATTTCCAGGGGGATCCGTGGTCTCTCTTTGCTAACACTGTGGCCCATGAGTTAGGTCATATTTTGGGTATGCAGCATGATAATGGGGAATTCTGTTCATGTGGGGGAGAAGGTTGCATCATGAGCACTTACAGAATACCAGAAGCAGAGAGATTCTCCAATTGCAGCTATATTGATTTTATGAAAACCGTTTTAAACCAAGGATCATGTCTGCACAATTCTCCAAGACCAGCAAAAGTCTTTCTGATTAAGCGCTGTGGGAATGGTGTAGTTGAAACAGAAGAGGAATGTGACTGTGGAGATATACAGCAGTGTGAACATGATCCTTGTTGTTTGTTGAACTGTACCCTGAGTCCTGGAGCTGCTTGTGCTTTTGGGCTGTGTTGCAAAGACTGCAAATTCATGGGGCCAGGGGAACTGTGTAGACAACAGGTCAATGAATGTGACCTTCCAGAGTGGTGCAATGGGACATCCCACCAGTGTCCACAAGATGCATATGTGCAGGATGGGATTCCCTGTAGTGAAAGTGCCTACTGCTATCAAAAACAATGTAATAACCATGACCAACAATGCAGAGAGATTTTTGGCCAAAGTGCAAAGAGTGCATCTCAGAATTGTTATAGAGAAATCAACTCTCAGGGAAACAGCTTTGGCCACTGTGGTATAAACGGCACAGTATATCTGAAATGTAATATGCCTGACATCTTTTGTGGGAGAGTTCAGTGCGAAAGTGTGAAAAACATGCCACATCTCCAAGATCATTCTGTTTTGAAGAGCACTCCTGTCATTGGTTTCACATGTTGGAGTGTCGGCCATCACTTAAGGGCGAGCATACCTGACATTGGCGAAGTGAAAGATGGTACCACCTGTGGAGCAGGAAAGATCTGCATTCGCAAGAAGTGTGTTAGTCTGTCTGTCCTGTCACAAGACTGCCTTCCTGAGACTTGCAATATGAAAGGGACCTGCAATAACAAACATCACTGCCACTGTGCCTATGGGTGGTCCCCGCCTGATTGCCTGCACAGAGGCTATGGAGGTAGCATCGACAGTGGCCCAGCATCTACAACTGAAAGAGTTTCTTGGAAACAAGTTGTGATTCCTTTTTTGTCTGTTTTGATTTGTCTCTCGACTGTTGGGCTTTATATATATCATCGAATACATTCTGGTCCCAAGAAGACTGAGGCTCACGCATCGGGTCAAGAAAACGCCTCTAATTTAAAATCCTATGCGTGATTTAGATTTAGTTCCTGGGCAGTAGAAATGTTAGCATGTGCCCCCAAACTGAGCACATCTGTGACAATTTACAGAAAGATATAGGAATCTTTCCTTCTGTAGGGATCAGGAACTTTGTCATTAAGTACATGTGATTCTTAACATGTTCCTACCTACTGTTCATTTTCTAAAGCATCAAATAAAGCTGTATTTCTTCCCTCGACAACCCAATTTAGTCTTTTCGTGTTTTGGGGCAGATGTGGCTCATGGAAAGGGAAGAAACAGATCTCAGAATGTCCAAAGGTGAGTTTCCTTTTGACTACCACTTAGTAATTTGTGGAAACTATTTAAATTTTCTGACATTTTGCTTCAGAAGCTGAAAAGAAAATCTTCCCGTCAACTGCCATGTAGTAATTTCAGGAAACTACTTAACATTCTTGACATTCTGTTTCAAAATCTGAAAAGAAAGGAATGATGATAATTGTCTCACTCAATTTCTTGGTTTTATGAGGTGTACAACAAAGAGAATGAGTATAGAGTATCAACAGATTTGCTCTTTGCTTAATGAACCCTCTTGACCTCATTCCCCAGGAGCTTCCTAGCCAGGCTGGCAGATTCTAATGTTTTAACATAACATGACCCATGTAGATTATTGCTTTGAATAGCAAAGTATAAACTTTTCCTAGAATGCATTAAACCATAAATCAGTGACCACAAGTTTACAGGGATACACAAGTGGGACACCCACCATTTCATACAGAAATGCTTTTCTGAAAAATGAAATCATGTCAGTTGCATGAAAACAAATGGAACATGTTAAGAAGGACTAGTCAGACACAAAATCAAATACCGCCCCCATGGGGGCAGAATAATCTTCTCCTGCTTTGCTCACTCTTATCAATACCTGGAACTGTGCCTAATACTATTTGAATGAAGTAATGAACTTGGAGTACTAAATGAATGGAGTATTAAGTTAGGAAAAATAAAATAATACTTTAGCATCTGGGGGCATCACTCTGGTCAGCTTTTAAATTCAGCTGTTTATGGCTAATGCACTTTGCTGGTCTTTTTGTATTCGATTTGTTTCTTCTTCAGTTTTGCCTGAGCACTTTGAAAGACCACTTCCTGAAAATAGATTTAGCTAGATACCCTTTATATTATGCAGGTCATTTCTCCATAGTACTCAGTAAATTTTAGTCACATGGCATTCTGGTATAATTTTCTATTATGCTTTGCTTTGTAAACCTTGCATCCTCTATTTTCTGTTTAGAATATATTTGGTTGTGTTATCTTCTGCACATCTATGTATGTGTACAATTTCTACTCCCAAATGTTGTTTACCATCCTCCTCCACTCCTTTTCCTTAGAAAATTCCAATTCTTCTCTCAATAGAAGCTAAATGACATGTATTTGGAAAATCCTTTTTTTCTTTCTCTTTTTATTAGTATGTATTATTTAGTAGGGTAGTGGATTTTATTTTGGCACATTTGTACATGCATATATTTTTATCTCTTTCCCTCTTTATGCTCCTTTACTATTTTCCTCTCCCTCTAGCCTTGAATCATCTTACTTTTTTCTAATATGCTCCCTTCTACATTCATGTTCATATTCTTTCTCTCTCCATTTCCCTCCAAATGTATATATATGTATAAATATGTATATATATATGTATAAACACATGAAAGAAAATATGCAATATTTGACTTTGTGTCTGACTGGTCTTTCTTTTAACATGTTCCATTTGTTTTCACGCAACTGACATGATTTCATTTTTCAGAAAAGCATTTCTATATGAAATGGTGGGTGTCTCACTTGTGTATCCCTGTAACCTTGTGGTTTAATGCATTCTAGGAAAAGATGAGGAGAGGGCCTAAAAATGTAACAGCCAGGGACAGAAGAAACCACTAACCAAGATGCTGCTGTGTAATTCTTTCTGCTGTGTATTTATTTTTCACTTGTTGAATTAATTCAGGCTAAATAGGTCAGTTTAATTTCATCAAGATTGTTGAGTAGAATTAGCCTCCTTACAACAAATATGGAATCAAACCCACTTTGATTCTGAGCAGTCATACAATCAATTTTATATTTTATTATGAGAAATGAATCTAATAATAGACAAAATCAAATCATGAATCACTATGTGTGCTCTACCTTAAGGAATTTTGCTGTTACCTGAAGAATCAGAGAAATTACTGATGAATTTTAAGCTGGAAAAGTCATTGAATAAAATTTGAATTGCAGAAAGATAATATGGAAATATGTAGAGGATGAATTTAAGATTAATAAAACTGTCATTAAAGAGACCATTTAAGACAGTAATGGTGAAACTTTGAGAGGCTAAGTGCTCAAACTGCAACTCAAAACCCACTTATTTCTCACAAAGGGCCAATACTGCAATTAAACCTGAATAATGAGGTTTTACTTTGGAAAAAATAACTCATACCCCTTGTAACATCATCACATAAAGAGGGCTTTGTGTGTTCGCTGTGGCACGTGCACCACGGGTTGCCACCACTGATTTAAGATATTCCTAAAGTAGTAAGATTCCAAGAATAAAAACTAAAGGAATTAGTTTAAGAATGAAGACAAAAGGTGAGTGCAGTGTTGCACTTCTGCAATCAGAGTTACTTGAGAGGCTGAGGCAGGAGGATCCCAAGTTTAAAATCAGCTCACTTAGCAAAACCCTGTCTCAAAATAAAAAGTAATAGAAGGATTGTGGGTATAGCTCAGTGAAAGAACACTGCTGGGCTCAATCCCCAGTATCTCTAACCCTACATGAATAGAGACAAATAATTTAGGTATATATACAACCTAATACAGGTAGGACACAGATGCCAGAGGCAGAACTCTATAGTTTCTTTCTCAGGTTTTGTTTTTGGTTATCGGGTATACAGCGATATCATGCAACTAAACAGAGAACAAAGTAGTAAGAGAATCTTTTTACATGTCTTAAATGAGAGGACTGTTAAGACTTTTCAAAATAGTTCTTATACAAATTTAATTTGAGCACATATCAAATTTTATTAACATCTAACAGGTTAGGTGAGTAAAAAAGAAAACTGGACAAACATGGAACAGATCTGAAGCCTCATATAACAGGAAAACTTACTTACCCAAGTGACTAATTGTTTTTTTAAAATAAAAATCCTGAAAATTATTTTCATAAGGTTGTAAAAACATCATGTACATATCAACTGTTGAAGGAAATGTAGCTAAAAGTGGCAGGCAGGTCAACTCTGTCCAATAGGAGAGAAGAAAGGTACAATTACAAAGCAAGATCTAAGAATATATCTTGGTCTAATATTGGAAAAACAAAAATTTGTCCCCGAACAGAAGTGTCCATAGGGACAACTGCTATGACAATATGATATGGTGTCAGGAAAGACCAGCCATAATAAATTCAATTTTTTTTGTCTTTTTCATTTTTTATCAGTGCCGGGGATCGAATTCATGAACGCCTACTTACAAGGCAGGTGCTTATGCCGCTGAGCTAAACCCCCAGCCCCAATAAATTCAATTTTTAAAGAGCCCTCATCCACTTACATAAACTCTGCAGAGAAGCATAATATGTAGGTTAGTCATTTCTTAGTAATAAGATATTTCCTTTTATAACTACTATTTTAGTGGTACAAATTTTGGGGGTGCAGTGACTCTCTTTTTACCTTCAACATGCTGGGCTCCAGAGATGCCAGAAGTTAGTCCTCAGAGCTACCCAGCTGCCTCCACCCTACACTGTTCACTCTTCCATCTGGGGATGGATGGTGAGTATCTGAAGAGCTTCTTTTGGCATTATTAATAGATCTTCAATCCTGAACAATTGTATACCATCTATAGTTAATGAAAATAACAAGAAATTGAAGGGAAATAACCCTCCCTATTCACAATCCCATGTTCTCCATCTTCACATCATTCTGTATGTCCCATGAAAGCTGTGGTCCTATCCTAAGGTTTGACAAAGTAATAAATCCTTTGATGTTGGAAGGAAAACCTAGGCTTTTTTAGAAACAGCTTCTGAAGCTGTTACTATGAAGAATTACTATACTGCTGATACTTCTCACTTTTAAAGCAGCCTATTTAATCCAGTCTTCTAAGCACCCAGAATTTAGGAGTGATAATCTACCTAATCAAGTTTCAATCTACCTAATCCAAGTTGCACAGCTTGTGAATGCTGTCCTGTCAAAAAGCCTTACCCACTTCCTGGAACTCTCTCCAATGAAGGCACAGTTCCATCTGCTAGATCTCTATGTTCCAAATAATTATTGAAAAAGTCTTTTACCTTGTTACTCTGGAAGTTATTTATCATATGTCTCCCAAACCTGGCATGGCCATTAAGACCCCATCTTTACAAAGAATAAATTTCAAGCCTTGCTTCATTCTACATAATACATATTATACCAGAATGTCTCTGGGTGATAGGATATCTACAAATTCATACTGTGCTCTGCAAATTAACTTCTCCAATACCACCACCTTTGGTGTGAAATAATATAAAAACCAGATCATTCACTTAGACCTTGCTGCTGCCAATGGCCAGCTAGCCCTTGGACTTCCTATAGCTGTAGTGTACCCAGTATAGTATCTCTATCACATGCAAGTGCTTCTGGATTTGCTCCTGTCATTGTATATCTTCATGTAACAAGTTGTGGAGATCTTAGGCCTCTCATGATCACCTCGGATATCCCTGGAGGGATGACCATTCCTGGGCCAGTGGCATAGTAGATTATATTCTGTTCTGGGTGTCACCAATCTCAATGCTGATCTTATCATGCAACATAGGCTTTTTATACATTTTTTTTTGTACCCGGGATCAAACTCTGGCTTTTTATCCTACAAGGCATATATGGTGATACACATCAAGTGAAAGTTATATTTAATAAGAATAAAAATTCTTTGGTTCAGATTGCAGATGTAGGTCAAGCTCAGCTTGCAATGAACCATCTAAGTGGTCAGAGACTTTATGGAAAAGTGCTTCATTCTACACCATGTAGAGCACTGAGCTTCCATCAGAGGGCAAGAAGATCAAATTATGTCAAAGGATTTCAGCAATACCTTTGCAATGCTATTTATTTATTTATTTGTTTGTTTGTTTATTTATTTTGTCTTTTTGAGACATGGTGTTGCTATGTAGTTCAGGATGGCC